GCCATTTTGTAGGTGGAGGTGGTTTTTGGAGGTGGTTTAGCTTTTGACGTAGGGGTGGAGGTTATATATAAAATATATATATATCCTGAGCTAAGTCTCCTTTCCTCGCTTTTCCGGGAGTGGAATATATATAAAGTATATATATATATTCAAGAATTGAACGTTTCACTCAGGAAGGCGTAATTCCCCGTTTTTATCTAGGAAAGAACTGCGGGGTGGGGAAAGATTAGGTTTGGTAGGTAGACGGGTTTTTAGTTACAAGGCCCGCCGAGACTTGCTACTAGTATCTGCAAAGGGTGGAGGAGGAGGCGCTGCGAGATTCCGCCGGAGCAAGTCAAGATAGTGCGTTGCGTGCGTGCGGGGTTTTTCCTGAAGAGAAATGGCCGAAAGGGTGTGTAGTGGACAAGGCGACGGCAATTTAGGGAGGAGGAGGGTATTTCGAAACCTGCAATGTGACAAGATCTGAAGTCGTATATATTCTTAAGCTTCCGCCTGGAAATATGCTCCTATTTTTCCCTTTTTTTTTCTTCTTTTTTTCCTGAGGGTGGATCGATACGTTGGCTAGCAACGTGTAAAGTAAGCTATCAATGGGTGGGAAGAGAATGTAGAATCGAAAGTAAAAGGTAAGAAAAAAATGAAGGGCGTCCTGGCTAGCTAGTGACGATGCACAATGGTGTAAAGCGGAGGAGCACGAAAGGAATGAATGGAAGAGGACCCGGCCCGTCGGAGAAGAGTACACAGCGAATATGAAGAAGGTGTCGGGGGTGCTGTGCAGGTGGACAAGAAAAGAAGGAGTGAATTAAATGGAGGATCGAGAAGGGAGAGCCTGCGGATTGGGTGTGGGGGTGGGTCGTTTTCCCTTTAGTTTCCTGGGGGGGGCGGCCAAACATCGCAGTACACTCCCAAAAAAAATCATCGCAGGCAGCCTAAAGTGTGGTGGGTGCGTCTAGTGCAACTACCACGCTGCCCGAAACGACGGCGGCAGGGGGCTGACAGGTTCTATTGGTTGACTCTTCGTCCCATGCCCAAGCTGCCCTCGCATCTGCATATCACACCTCGTCCTCATGGCCAATCAGGACCCCGTGCCGGCAAATTGTACTATTGAGTTCGCGAAACAAGGGGCATTTAGCACCAGGGGTGAGGTAACAAGAGAAGGTTTTTCTCCCCCCAGCTACCCAGCTAGTGTGATGTGCGAGAAGTTTGTTGGTGCAACAATTGCGATGCCCATTGTCTCTGGTATCATAGCAGATAAACAATCGCCAAACGGCCGGGATTTCTATAGGTTCTTTTTTTCTTGTCCCCGGGAGTTTGTTGGATCGCTCTCAAAAGGAACCACCTTCCCGCTACTTGAACTACTAGTTACTATAGTTCAACGTGTGTATGGAGCAACTACGCATAGTGGGTATATAGTACGCATTCACGCGCGCGCGACGGACACCTGTGTGTCAAGGTTTGTGTCCTCTATTTATTCGTTCTGTTGTTTCTGTATTTGCCATACTCCGCCTCAGGAAAGTCCAGCATGTTTCCCTGCCTGTAACTATATATTCATGTGTTCTATAGGACTTTTGTCCGAATTTGTCAGGTATCTAATAATTATCAGATCCTGTCCCCCAATCATTTTGTTTTGCAAACATGCGGACGAACCCATCCATTGCTTGTGAAGAGGAAAACTTGCAATGGTCATGATGAAATTTATTATTGCAGCCTGGTCCTAACAAGGATATATTACGGCACCTAGAAGAGTACTATAAGTGAAGGAACTCGTGACGGCGCGCATTTCCCGATATCTCTATTCGGAGCACCCGGTTTCGGGGGTATTACTTTTTTCCGGGACTCCCCGCCGTAAGGAAAGTTGCATCTCAAATTCTCCCCAGTATTCCTTCTTTCTCTAGCTTTGCCCTTACACATTAAGCGTCGACGACCTCATGGGGTGGCGAGATGGTCTAGGTAGGTTCGAGCGCAAGGGGGTGGAGAGTAGTAGTGATGATCAGGGACCACTGTATTTCTTGTTTCAGAATTATTCATCCAGCTAGGCTTGCCAAAGCGTGTGATTATTCAATCATTCTTGGGTGCTTGACTGGTTGGCCGCACCTCCGTTCAGCTTGGGTAGAGACGAAACAAAAGAGTGTTAAACATGTACAACATTCTTGATGTTTAGAAGTAAAGGAGTAGATATCCGCGCAGAGGCAAATAAGAGATAGTACCAGCGACACCAAGCAAGCTGAGCAGCAGCTGGTAGGTAGTGAGAGGTAAGTAACATACAGTAGTTTCTGCAAGCAAGCTGCAGTAGCTACCCAGTACATTAGCGTTACTCTACAGGTTTGAAGTTTCAAACCTTTTTCACAACCGAGCACTCCATGAAGTAAGCCATATCTGTTCACGATCTCAGCAGCTTTTCCAGAACTTAAGCCCGGCCGTTACGGTCGTTCTTCCGAGGTTTTTCTCCTTTATCAAGGAATACCATTTTTCCCCACCATCGCCGGCCCCCGCAAATAGTTACTCATCCTCCCCCCCTCACGATCTCATAGTAACACCGATCCCACCGTTAGACTTCCAAGGATTATTGACGCTCCGCGGGCCTTGCGGGTTAATCGGCCTATTGCCCCAGGCAAGCCGACTGAATATACGCGCCCATATTACCTACCCCCTCAACCATCTGTATGTACCCTGCAGTACTGCAACATCCATGATCATGGTATTAAAGCCATGGAGAAGGAAGAAAAGGGTGGGAGGCTGTGCACTGTGAGAGGTTCTTCTATTCTCATGATTGTCACAAAGCAGAGTCTTGAGTGGCTCAACCGTGAACCGGAGACGAGACGAAAAGCCAGCTGTTGATTGATTGATCTGTCAAGAGGATACCGAAGCTCTAAAGCTTTATATTTGTGACCCAATCAGCCACCTGTCCGTGACTTCTAGTCTAAAATAGCGACCTCCCTTTCCCGTTAGCGCCTAAGGCCACGGTGTGCGGGGATGCTTTGTCTGCCTCATCGATCCCTATCAACGATTTCAATACTCATGTCGCCGATTATTCCTTAACATTGTTAATTGTTTCCTTTTTTGTCACTTGGCAGAAACACCAGTCCGCCCCCTTTCTTTATGGCCTGAAAGGGCATTTTTGAGGTGCTCTTTTTTGTTTTGTTTCTCCTTTTACGAACTTCCCAGCTGCTTCGCTAGTGCCACCGCGAATTTGTGTGAGCGAGCCTCAATAACGCTTGAAACCCTTAACTCGAGCCGCAACACTTGACACCCGCGCTAGCGACGCCACGCCGAGAAACCCCATTTTTAGCTCCCCAGCCCCACAACAGCAACAACTGCATCATGAGCCATGGTTCGCATGTTTATAATTACTGCTTCATATTTTTCCTTTCCCTCCCAGTGCCACCGTCCCCAGCTCTCGTCCACCACTTCTTCATGGCCCTTACATGTAGTTGAGACCGAGCCTCAAACGCCTCCTTCAGTTGACAGTTCATGACTCCGACTCATGACGTCGCTGAGCGTCTCGTCGTGCCATACGCACACCCATAAAGCATATCTACCGTCCGCCGCAGCAGCTAACTAGCGGGCAGCCCATAGTGTACCTTAATTCAATGGGGGTTAAGGTTTCGGTTGCGGACGTTCTGATATCAAATCTATGCGCGGAAAGGGAAGAAGCAGGTGGTGGTGGTGGGGGGTTGTGTGGGAAAACCGTCGGGTGAGGCGTGGTCGTGCCAGACAGGTTGGGCTTGCTGGCACTGCAGCAACTCAGAAGTTTCATGGTGGCTTGAACGTGCTGTTGATTGAACCACTCACCACTGGACAGTGAGGCTTTAACCCTTCCCCCCACATACAAAGCAAGGTTAACTCTGCCACAACAGACAGCTTTCTGCCTTCATTGATTGTACGTACAAAAATGTGAAATCGACAACTCAAAGCACGAAAAAAAAAATAAGGGTCAAACATTATGTGTATCTGTTGTGCTGGTGAGCTGTTGCTGGGTTGATTAGAGATAAGCAGGCAGGGGTCGATCTTCCCTTTTTTCCCTTTTCCCGCCTAGTTCCCGCCCGCGGTGATTGGCAGTGATCCATTTCAATATTCTTGACGTACATCTACCCGTTATGATGTACCTACTCGAGGCATAACGGTTTTTTTTTTCTTTCCCTCATGTAGGTACACGCCCCCAGTACTCTCTCTACCCAGCCAGGCCGGTAGCTCGTCATCCACCCAAGCGATTAGCTTAGTCGCGCGCGCGCCCACGAACCAATAGCAGAAAAACGACATGACCCTGCATACCGCGGCGAATCGGCAGTGGGCAAGCGCTGTTTCAGGGCCCCCAGTTGCAGTTGCAGTTTGCATGCTCATCTCGGAGCATTATCTCTGCAGTCTCCACGTGCGAATGCTTCGAGTGATACTTCAGAGAGGCAAGTTGTAGAGTAATCAATCACCATGGATCTATCAAGTGTACATTTTAGATGTACTTACCATAGAGATCATGTATTACTCACCTAGCTGTCTATGGGTGCGTCGCATTTAGAGTTTTTTTTTTCTGGCTTTTTTTTTGATTTTTCCTATGCTCTGCGCGATCGGGAGAGTGCCAAGACGTCATCATGGAATATCACTCGGCGTCTTGAAAGCTGCGGAGGAAGCCTTTGGACTTCAACTTTGGGGAGATACAAGTTGTTCTACGAGGTATATCTTGAAATAACATGGTGTTTGTGCTTGTGTGTAGATATGAGTATATAGATGTCGTTGGTCATTAAAGAATCAATCACAGTAGATCCATCCTACCCAACCAAGCACGTAGAACACCAAAAAACACATCCCTATAAAACAATGGAATCAACCACAACCTACAGGTTGTCTTTACCGTGCTCACGCCCACTCAATCCACCACTAAAACTCTCCATCCCACAACCCAGCTTTACCTGGAACCCACTTGACACTCCCCCCTCGACACTTCACCCTCATACTCACCCCTCACCCACGCACCCCCCTTAAGCTTCCACACAACCACAACCGCAACCATGCTCCCGCCCCCCAGCAGCAAAATGCTCGACCCTACCGTACCCCCCAAGAATCTCACCCTGGAGGCCCTCCCCACCGCCATCAGCACCCTCGAGCTCAACACCGCCCACCTTGAGAACGCTCTCTTCACGCAGCATGAAGCCCTCACGGCCATAGACGAGACCTCTGCCACCACCGCCGCGCTGAAAGAGCGCGCGACTATAGCCCTTCGCACCCTTGAGAGCGCCCAGGTCAGAACCCAGGAGCTGTGTATGAGGCTGGTCGAGATCGGGCTCAAGCTGGACGAGCTCCCGGATGGCGCCGAGGAGGTGATGAGAAGGAGGTTTTTGGTGGTGGACCGCAGCTTGGTGGCGGCGGATGAAATGGCAGAGGGGTTGATGGGTTGGGCGGATAGGGTCTATCTTGATGCATATGAGCGCGAGAGGGGGGAGGGGGGCGGGGTCTGGATGATACCGGTTGAGGAGGAGGAGGAGGAGGAAGAAGAAGAAGAAGAAGAAGAAGGAACTGAAGAGGAGGAAGAAGAAGAGGAGGCCGTGACTAGCGATGAGGAGTTTTGAGCCGGCAAGCTAGAAGGAGCTTAGTTAGTAGTAGTACGTGTAGTAATAAAGTGTACATGCACCAACCCGCATTACATAAGAGTACAAGTTACAATAAACTTCTCTCTCTCTTTTCATGATCACCATTTTCCCCACAATCTAGTTCAATATCACCCACAAGACCCATTAACATTAACAAACATCCCCACAACGCGATTTGCCCAAACATCCTTGCACTGATCATTTCCCAGACACTCCTCACACCAATCCCCTTGCTTGTTCCACCGCGCGCCGTGCCATCCATCTCCACATCACATCGCAGCCATCCATCATCCCAACCCGCCATCATCCCGACCCGCCCGTCTGCACCATTATGTCACCACGGGAGCTTGTGCGGACAGCAAACAGATCTCGCTTATGCGGCGAATAGGAAGTTCTTCCAGTCTAGCTGGTCGCGGTGGTCATTGATTTGTAATATATGACGGAAGGGCTAGCCAGCATCGCAATACAGCGGTGAAGGGGATATAGTGCCAGCGTTCTGTCATGGATATCGCCATTATTTTCTTGGTTCTTTTTGCAAACAGACCACATTGAGGCGGTGGATTCCGCTGACTTACGTGGAGTTGTGGCAGGCTCAATCATATGGTATCACTCGACTACATATAGAAAGTATCTTGTTCATGATCAGAGATCAATGAAGGCATCATAGACGGCCTGTTAAGTTCGTATTATCTGGGATCGTAGCTCTTGGTATGTAATACCTGGTGTGTCTCTACCTATATGTAATCATTAGTATTGCCGCTTCTCACCATTATTGAATGATTGCTTACAAAATTCTCCCCTTTTGTCCGCAACACCGGCCATTAATTGAGGGTTCGATTATGCCGGGTTTCAGAGGCTAAGTATCCTATCCCTTATATATATACCGATTGATGCAATTTAGAGGATACAAGAAGCTTTTCAGATATTGTTCTTAAAACAAGCAAGAAAAAGCATCAAAGAAGATCTCTTTTATTGTCACAGCCACATCAGCGAACCGGCTGTCCCTAACCTAAAGGCCAAAGTAAACTGTCCAGACAACATAGCAGTTACAAAGCACATGATATGTGGTGATCTATAATAACCACCATAAATAAATCGGAAAAGGTCTAAAATGACACAATTTCGGTAGACGTGCGCTACAACAACACACGACGCAGGACATCACAGTTTACTGTCTATTCCCAGCCCCATCACTATCAAAAAATCAAAATAATTTCCCAACATATTTTACTACGGTAATAAAATAAAAATAAAAAGAACAAAAGATACTGCACGGGCTTACCATAGATAAGTGGTCCGTACTATCCCCACCCCTGGTTTGAACCCAGGACCATTACGTGTACTGGTAAACACTCGGTGTCTAACCCGACGAGCAGTCTAGCCACTAGACCACTCGCCCATGGTGGCTGCTGCGCCGGAAGTGATACTTGATCTTGGCAGTGTGCCACAGTGTGCCAAGATGAAGCAGAACCCCTAACCCTTTGATTTTCAATGCTCCTACGCACAGCACCAGAAATGGAGGTAAAAATTGATACCGCCAGCGGCATCAGTACGGGTACTTGTATGGCATTGTGAGAATACTTATGCCGTATTTTAACAAAGTACAGTACATAGTATTACCGCAGTCCTACGACATTGCTAAAGACAGCGGTAGTGATATATATTCAATAGCTCGATCACATTTTTTTTATTTTTTTATTTTAGATCATAGAAAACTATGTCATCTTGCGCCAATGTATGTGGCTTTAGATCCTTTCCATAATAAATACATGTATCCCCAGGACAAGCAGCACTACATGTACCAATCCCCACCATACATCTCCTAATATATAAAAGATCAGGACGAAAAGAAATTTCGCAAATGGCGGGCCGGTGATGATTGGCCCTGCACCCAGGCTTCCTACATAGAACGTTAAGGGTGTACTGGAATATGTCGGAACAGCCCTTTAATGAAATGATTGTTCTGTTTAATACTCCGCCCGGCCGGCCGGGAAAGTGCTTTCAAAGCCAAAAAGATTCCAGGCCAGAGTAGCTTTATTTCATTCACCAACCCGGTTTAAATTGACAGCATAAATTAAGATGGGCATTATGAAATGATTCCGGTTGGTAAAAACGGGAAAACCTCTAGTATATATATATAATATAAAAAAAAACCCGCTCGACTTCAATAATTTACAAAACAAAACAAAAAAGAGCAAAAAAGTTCACAACACCGCCTAAGCCTCGGTTGCTACGTCTTTTTCTACGTCCGGAAGGGGGGTTGAACGCTCACGAGTTCGGTACAGAGTGTAAGCTCTATACCGCTGGGCCACGCCCAACCCCCATGTTCACCTTGTTTCCTTTACTACTATTAACTATGGGGGCTCGTACATATAGGCTATCCGTAAAAAGTAGACCGGCGCAACCAATCCTCGATCACGAATATGCTATATCAACTATCAATCCACAGAACTCTTGAATCTACCATCCCCTACGTCCTCCAGTTAATTTCAGAGCTACCCGGGTATCCATCGCTAACGTGGTGCGCAGTTAATCATGAGATATCACTCGACGCCAAGCAATAAGGATAAAATCGAATCGTAAAATATCCCGTTCTAGCATAGGCTCATACAAACTATCTTGGAATATTTGTGAGCTGTACTCGCACTTGACTAAGATCGTACGGTACGTTTAGGAGCCATCCAACCCATAACGTCCCCCAACAGCACAAAATAATCATGCATGGCTCTGTACTATCCGGGTCCCGGGCAAAAGCTTCGACTGCTTGGTTAATTCCAGACTTCGGAAGGTTTGGGAAGCACGATCCTTACAATAATAAAGTTATAAGCTACATAACTCTACGCCCTCTTACCATCCAAAATACCGGCGGAAATCTACCTCGACACCTCATACAGTTAATGAAGTAATCAATCAATCAATCAATACCTCGACACCTCTGGGTAATTTGGGCGCCCACGTTGATCAAAGAACCTCGTTGAGACATTTAGAAAACGAACTCTGGAGTTTAAGAGCCACCACCATTTAGCTGTGGTTTATTCTCAATGGTGGTATCGTTGGATGAACCACCGATGGAAAGCAATGCTCTTTTTGATAAAGACCAGAAAAATGAATAGAAGCTTAAAAGACTTTTGATTTATATTCATCTAGCAACTTGATATCCGTTCCACAACGGAAGCAAGTCTATTTTGAGTCCTCTATCCACTCTATTTCCCACCCACTCTATGAACCTCCTCAAAAAAGTGCTTCAAGTCCTCCGGGTCCACAAACGGCGTAATACCTAAATCACACCCACATTAGCACACGGCACACCTCCCCCCAAAGATATCCAAAACTCACCATGTCCCAAATTACAAATCCACCCCTTCTTCCCATTACCAAAGGCAGGTACCGTCCTCTCAACCGCCTCCGTAATCGCCTTCCTCCCTCCATACAAAATATTCGGGTCAAAGTTCCCCTGCAGCGTGACCCTGCCGGCGGCAACCTTATACGCCTCCTCGGGATCATGCGTCCAGTCCAAGCCCACAACCTGATACCCGGACACGCACAACTTCTCCAACGCATACCACGCACCCTTCGCAAAAACAGTCATCGGGACGGGCTCCTGACCCAGCTCCCTCAGACGCTTCGGTAATCGCTCCGCAATCTCCTTCAAATACGGCAGCGAGAACTCGTCAAAGTCGCGCGGCGCCAGCTCGCCCGCCCACGACTCAAATACCTGGATCATTTGCGCACCGGCCACAACCTGCTGCGCTAGGAACTCGACACACACGTCGGTGATGCGCGCGAGTAGGTGCTTACTCTCCTCGGGATACTTGAAGATCCATGTTTTCGCGTGGATGAACATCTTGCTTCCACCGCCCTCAATCATGTAGCTCATGAGTGTCCAAGGGGCGCCCACGAACCCCAGAAGGGGGACACGACCACGCAGCTTCTTGCGCGTGAGGGTGATTGCGTCGAACACGTAGCCGAGCTGCTCCTTGACGTCGACGGTTGTGCGGAGCTTGTCGAGGTCGGCGGGGACGCGGAGGGGGTCGGGGAAGTGGGGGCCCTTCTTATCGATCATTTCAACGGCCATGCCGAGGGCCTGGGGGATGACAAGGATGTCACAGAAGATAATTGCGGCGTCGAGGAGGCCGGCATAGCGCTCGACAGGCTGGAGGGTAATTGTTGATGCGAGCTCGGGGTCGCGGCAGACGGCGAAGAAGTCGTTTGTGCCTTTGACTATGTGGTATTCTATATGGGGGAGTGGTTTGTTAGTGGTGGGCGGGGGGGCCGATCGGGGGAGAGGTGGAGGTGCGGACCAGGGAGGTAGCGGCCGGCTAGAGAAGTGAAGCGTTAGTTAGAGATTCGGCATCTAAATATGAGAGCCTTCCTGCATAAACCGCAGTGGAATGGATTGGAGTGCGGGTTCACCTTGACGCATCACCCACATGGGCGGCCTCTCGACCGTCTCGCCTGTCAATTTAGCAATCACATGTCAGCTGGCTGACATCCGTAGAGATTCAATTCCACCTAAGAGAAATACCTCTGGCGGCGCGGAGCAAGAGGTCATTCTGGAGGGGTTCGAAGCTCTCTGACATATTGTGTGGTGGTGGGGGGAGTGATTGATGGTGGTTGATGTGATACTCTGGATGGTGGGGTTGACGTTGTTGCAAAGGGACTCGGGCAAGAAAAGGGCCCACTGTCTCGGAACTTGCCGTACCCGCGACTAGAATCCGGGGAAACTAGATGCCCACCGAAAACACCCCGGAGCAGGCGAATTTGCACGGTACGCTACCTGTGATCTGAGAGTGATAGTTTTGACTAAATTTCAGTAAAGAGGTGATATATGGTGATGGGGATAAGCTTCTATGAAATAGCTCGATCGAAAGGTTGATTCTTAGTTAGCTATAGGTACATAACCTGAATTGATGATGAAACGATCTCCCCGACCCAAACGCAGAGCCTCTTTCATGACAACTAAGCTAATAATTCGAGTGGTATTAATATGGAATTACCACATTCGAATTAATAACGATGACAACTGTAGTCAGATTGGAACGATTCGGAGTATATAGATTGAGTTTATAGTCCTAGCTGAAGGCCCGAATCTTGAGTATATCTACATGTAGCTTCGTTCTCCTGATAGTAACACCATAAAGATCAAGACCGTGTTGGTGCTGATTCTGGGGCCGGTCCGAATCCAGCGTAGTGAAGAGTTGAACGGACACAACAGTGCAGCCCCGGAGGCCTCTTACCGTTGCTAAGCTGTTCGAACTTACACTTACAACATTTGGTTTTGTATTTGGCCATGGCCAAGCCAAACATCTACCTGATATCATCAAGATTCGTTCGGCCGATGGACTCAAAATGTTTTATGACGAGACAAACACCATACACGTACACTGGTTTAGTTCACATTCTCATGTGATGGGCTGCATGCACTTGAATCCTACTGCACCGGGCCAAACCACCCACACATCAGATCCTGCCCCGGCCCGGATACCGCACCCAAATTGTAGTTACAAACCTTTACACTCAACACCCCACGATAACCATCGAGCAAGGGGCACGATAAAGCAAATCCTGCAGCCCGCCCTTAGCTAATTCTAGATTTACATACCACCGAACAACGCCTCCTTACTTGACCATGGTTCTACAAATAACGTTTTTTTCTCCGCCAAGGGGAGTGAATTAAGCTTTTCAGTGGGTGGAGACAGCTAATGGGTTAAGCATTTAGTTGAAGACCTCCTTGCATGCTCCGCATATCCGCCAGAAAACGCCTGGCCGGTGCTCGAGAGCCCTCTTCCGCATACAAGTTGTGGGTTGAGGGAAATTATTTCTCGGCTTACACCTGGAGTCCTACTGCTAGCTGCTGCTGTATGCAGGTATATACTCGTATTTTCCTGACGTTTGTGGACGCGACCAATATTGCATACCATACAAAAATACGCCAAGCTCATGGTTTTTGGTGTATGCAATAGTGGCCCAGTTCAAAAACGCCAGTAGTCAGCCCTAGGCCTCTCCAGCTAAGAAGCACTACGAAGGCTGGATTTATGCCCACGGCCCACTAACCACAACAGAAGGCTTGAGATATATAGACCCGCAGCCCCGATAGACACATAGATACACTATTACTCATGCTCAGATTATCACATCTGACATGGCAGGGTATATATTCATAGCGGCAAATGAAAACCCTCCACCGCATCACAGCCAATCACTCGACGACCCGGGGGGGGGGGGGGGCGGAAGTGCACCGGTCCATATCTCCACAGTGTCGTGTTCGTCTCCTGTCCATTCTACCTCAGGCTGAGCATGGGTCTTCCGGAGCCTTGGGTGTCAATGTTTATCTGACACGCCATGCCATTACGGCGGGGAGGGGGGGCGCTTGGACACTGACGTATGGTGGTCCGTGATCATGATTGGGGGATCCGGATTGCATAGTATGTCCTCTAGAGTACTAGAGACCACTTCAAGGAAGTATGTAGAAGAGATGAGGAAGCCATAATACTTCTCCCTCACCTACATAGCATGCCTACACAATGCCCAGGGCAACAAAAAACGCTCACTCGCCCCCCACCAGTGGAGTGGGTGTCTTCCGTCTGTATGTAGTTAGGGCAAAAAAAAAGGAAAACATTGTTTCCTGAAAAGCCGCATCCACCCAAAAGAAGCCCCTTTCCCAGAATCCCAAAGAAGCCCGCAGGAAGCCAATCGTAGCAATGTCGTGGCTGGAAGGTTTCTCGGGATGTCCACTGACTGGCGAAGAAGGAGAGAAAGGAAAAAAAAGGAACGTCTCGGCGCGCGCGTCGAGGACCGTGCGCGTATCAAAAAAGTAAAGAATCGGAGCCGGAATCTCCTTTTCTTCCTTATGTGCTTTTCTTTTGCTTGTTGCTGCTGCTGCTGCTGCTGCTTGCTTGCTTTGCTTCATCTCATCGCAGCAACGCAAAAAGGGGAGCGGATAGATGAGTAGATGGTATGCATGTAGGTTACGATGGCATGATGCGTACGTTAGGCGGGCTTTCAGGACGTTGAAGCATGTAGACTCCCGGGCAAACAGCTGTTAATTTCTTCTTCATTCATTCATTCGTGAGCTAGGACAGCTGTAGCTGTTTTGTGAGAACAGCCAGTTGCGTCTGTCTAACCCAGACATACATAGAAGGCCTGCGTAGGCCGTAGATCTGCAGGAGAAGGAGAAGGAGATAGCGGAAGGAAAGGCAAGTTTAGGGCGGAAGTGGGTTAGCGGAAGCTTTTCCCCTGGGTTGGTTTTTCGGGACTTCTTGGCAATTGAGGGAGGTCTTGCAAGTTGCGAATTGGGTTGGGTTTGGGGGGGAACTAAAATGCTAGCTGTGGACCCTGAACTGGGAACGGGGGCGAGCGAGCGAGTGATAGTTCCGTTCTTGACTTTTCCACCTCTTCCACCTTCTCCCTCTTCTCCATTTCTGTCTGGGCCTTCCTGCACCTGGGGGCAAAGTGCATACGACTACCACGAAGTGACGAAGGAACGAGTGATAGCGCGAGATACCAGTCTGCCTCTCGTTCTGTCTGTCTATCCGCCTTCGTGACTGAATAGCTGACCTGATATATATACGCCACTGGCTTTCATTTTGGTCCTGTCCAATTAACGGCCCCGTTGCACAGGAAATCAATTGCATTTCCTGCCAGGCACGTTACGTTGCATCATCGATCAACTCTCCTTGCCTGCCTCGCAACAGACAGACAGACAGACAGACAGACAGATATAGGTCTCTCTTCTCTGCTGGGCATATCATTTAAACAAGGATCACAGCCTGCCAGGATATCAATCCGGGCGGTGGAAAAGGAAAGCATCATCACGAACGAAACCCGGCCCAGCCCTTTCTCACCCTTTCATCGTCATCCAATAACGCACTCACCCAACTGCACCTACCACCTACCACCACCACCACCACCACCGTCCCTTCATTCCCAGAAGCGTCCACACCCTCTCATCACAACCTAACGGTACCTACCTCGCCCTAGGGACCAACTTGGACAGTGAGCCACAACAACCCTGCCCCTAACTCCCGTTTCCGTCAAATCCCCAAGAAGGAGGCACACCCCCCCGTCCCCCTCCCCCCATCTCATCATATAGGCCAGCACAAATGTCGACCCCCTCTACGCCATCTACGAAAAACCGCATCGGCCTCGGCCTCAACCGTCCACGTCCCTCGCACCTCAACACACCGTTCGCGAACGCTTCAGCAAACACATTTTACAACAACAATAACAACAGCAGCAGCAACAACAACAGCGGCCTGCCGCCCGCCCCGAGTTATACAAGCCAGTCCTCAAACGGGCCCCTGCTGTCGCCAAGTACTATGCTGGCCCGGAAGGCCTCGCTGAACCAGTTGACACAAAACTCTTTAGCATCGATACCAGACGGGACCATGGGGTACGGGCTTGGTCTGGGAAGTCCTACGAGAAGCATGTCGAGGGGTGGTGATGATGGCCTGAGAGGGCGAGGGAGAGGAACGCCGGTTGCGGGGGTTGACGTCGATGTTGGGGATCAGGTCAACACCCCCGGGGGCATGCATGGGACGGTGAAGTTCATTGGGACCGTCAAGGGGAAGGCGGGTGTGTTTGTGGGCGTGGAGTTGGACCCTGATATGGCAGGTCGGGGGAAGAACGATGGTGCAGTCGACGGGTTCGTTTTCACAATTCTTTTATATCACTTTTTTTCTTCCTTTTTTTGTTTGGCGCCCATAACACACGGGTTTTATTACACCGTTACTGTGTGCTTTTATTTTTATTTTTTATTTTCTTTTCTTTTCGTGGTAGCTCAATGTTGCATTTTTTTTTTCGATGATGGGCATTATCGTGACTAACAGCACCGCTCCCGGGGAATTAGTGTACGTTACTTCACCACCGCACACCCAAACTCGGGGATCTTTGTGCCACTCGCGCGCGCACAGAAGCGAAACTCCGCGTCCTCCTCGAATCCCCCACCAACACCAACGCTCCTCGGGCTCAACTCCCCTACCGGGACCTCCGCGCTCTCACCACCTAGCTACCCTACTCCCCGGCGCGCCGAGTCACCATTCGGCTACAACAACAACAATGGCGCCCGAAGCGGCATCGGCCTCGCGCCCTCATCCCGCCCATCACTGCCGCGACCGGAAAGCCCTGTCCGCAAGACCACTCCCGCTCCCGCCGCACGAGGCCTGCAACCTCCGGGAACGCCAAGAAACGTCTCTTCGGCCATGGGAGGGAGATTTGGGGGTCCAAGTCAGATGCCGGGAAAGATAAACTACGGTAGACCAAGGGCAAGCAGTATCGCTTCTACAGTAAACGGTGGGCCGACGCATCCGGAGCGTCCTGGAACCGCAACTGGATTCTCCGGCCCTACTCCAAGGATCTCACACACGCCGAAGCACTCGGGTTCGTCACTGGGCCTGAAGCAGCCAAAGAATTCGGGACAGAGCGGGCTGCGGAGTGGATCATCAATGGGAATGCGCTCCATCAGTTCTTTAGGGCAACACCCGGAGAGGCAGCAGGAAGATTTACAAGAGGAGACTTCGCAGGGCGATTCGGGAATTGGGCTAATTCACGCGGAGGAAAGCGAGTACGATAATTCCAACGG